CAGAGAAGGAAGAACCGCACTCCCTCCCTCTGTAACAGAACACACAGCAAGCTTTGAAGATGAATCACTTGGCGGTGGTTGTGCATGGTTCTGTCCGCACAGTATGCGTCTGCTCAGGCTGCGGTCACAGAGCACTGCAGATCAAGGTGCTACTGGTCTGAGAAGTCTCTCCTGAGACCGACTTCCTTGGCTTGTAGACGCCTGTCTTCTGGCTGTGTCCTCACATGGTCATCCCCCTGTGGGTGTACCTGTGTCCTAATCTCCACTTCTTAGAAGGACCCGGTCACATAGGGTTAGGGTCCACCCTAATGGCCTCGTTTTACCTTAATCGGCTCTTTAAAGGCCCTTTCTCTAAACACAGCTACATTCTGCGGTCCTAGGGGTTAGAGCTTCAGTATATGGATTTTGTGGGGGAGACACAACTTAGCATCTACCTTCCCAGGCCCTTCTCAATAAGAAAATGCATGTAGATGCTGAGTGAATCCTGCCAGGTTCTCTGGGATAATCAGGTGCACGGATGGGGAGGGTTCAGAGCAAGAAGTGCATCTTCTGTCCTAGCTTCCCATCTCCTGCCCCAATTGAGTCCCCAGAATTCACAGGCTGTCCTCAAGGCACCCTTTGCTCATGGCCCTCTGAGGAAGAATTGCAGTGACGATCCTGTAGGGGCTGCAGGACTTGTTCAGGGAAAAGATGCAGAAGTGGCTGAGCCATGAACATGTGGTCCCTTGACCAAACGTAACGATGTAGACAATGTCACAGACACGTCCAGATGAGTTCCTGGGGGGCAGGCTGAAGACACGTTCATTGATGCCCTCCATCACAGGTTTTTGAGTCCCACCAGGGCAAGGACTACCCTCTGTTAAGCATCCAGTAGAAACCTGTTCCAAAATGGGGTCCTGAAGTGGGCCTGGCTTTCCTGGTCTCTTCTCAGGGATGAACTCAGCCTACCAACTGCACCAGCTCTGGTCCCAGAAAATGTGCCCAGAGCCTTGGATAGAATGGGGAATGCTTTGGTGATGAGGTGGATTAGAAAGTGATGGGGGTAAGAGTTTTGACATCCCCCAGGCAATTCCCCTCCTTACAGGATCATCCCTGCCTCTGTTGCTGGCAGAGAGAGAGAGGGGCAGTCACTTCAGGGGCACGAGGCCTGTACACCCACTCCCCATTGCTCTGTGTGGCCAAAGGTGTTCTTTTTGATCTTGGGCAGGTGGTGGAAGTTCACCTTCTCCTTTCACTGTTTGGAGCATTTCACAGTGTCAAGGATGTGGCCTGGCGTTCCAACTCTGAAGAGCTAATGGCTGGACACCAGAACAGGCTCCCACCATTGGAGAAGGCTGATGACCTTCAGTACAAAGGACCTTGAGAAAGGTGTTGCCTGCTGGATATCTGGAAAACTGAACTGACAGAGGGACCAGATGGAGAAAGGATGGAGAGTGGCATGGCAGGAAGCATTCTGTCCTCACAGAGATGGCCAGTGGTTCTCAGGACAGTCTTGAGGAAGCCACCCAAGCCCCTGCACCTCTGCTTCCTGTGGAATAGGTGGGTTAAAGTGGATGGTCTGAGAAGCTCCCCTGGATAGAAGGTTTGGCCATTCATAACTTGACCAAGTCAGGAACAGATGAAGCAGAGACTTAAAACTGGGCTGGCCATTAGCTCTCTAGCAGACTCCCCAGTCAGATGCCTGGAATCACAGTCTTCCATGGGACCATTTCCCAAGCCCTCCTTGTAAGTTAGCAGTGATGTCTTGCAACACTGAGGAATGTTTGTGCAGTACCCTTGGGAGAAATTCTAAAAGCCTCAACTGCAGTGCCTGGTCAGCTAAAACAAGAGTAGTTTCAGCACCACCGCCATGAAGGGAGTGGCAGGAAGAGAACACCAGTCTTCAAAACCATAGCCACACACCTGGAAATGGGGTAGGTAACTTTGAAGGCGGAAGAATGGAGAAGAATTCTATTTGGCTTTGCAATTTGTGGCTGATGGGCATTTGAATTCCCATTTATTCATAATTGGTGTGAACAGGGCCAATGTCACAGCACAGAGAACAGCAAAGTCAGAACAACGAAGGCTGAGGTTGATCCTAACTCTGCACCCCAAGTCTGTTCGAAGCATGCTCAGAACTCGACTGAATCTGACCAGGCCCCAGCAGAAGCTGAGCTGCACCTTCTTGCTTTATGAGCTCAGCACTTATGCTTTTCTGAGTAGAAGGTAATAGAGTTTGTTTATCAGAAGGAACACAACAATCAAGCCTTCTTCCCATCCAGCTCCCATAGAACTCCCATCTGATTACTATGGGTTGGCAGGACCTACGAGATGTTCATGATGAACATCAAGCAATGAATTCGGCTGGAGAGCAAGGATGTCAGGAGGATGTTTAATGGAAATTTTTGAGGGTGCTTCAGTGCTGGGTCCAGACTATGAAGGTGTGATTTCAGCCAAGTGCAGTGACTCATGCCTGTAATCCCAGCGCTCTGGGAGGTCAAAGTGGGAGGATTTTTGAGCCAAGAGTTCGAGATCAGCCTGGGCAACATGTTAAAACTCTGTCTCTAGGCTGGCCACGGGGGCTCACGCCTGTAATCCCAGCACAATGGGAGGCCAAGGTGGGCAGATCACTTGAGGTCAGGAGTTCAAGACCAGCCTGGCCAACATGGTGAAACCTTGTCTCTGCTAAAAATACAAAAATTAGCCAGGTATGGTGGTGTGTGCCTGTAGTCCCTGCTACTCGGGAGGCTGAGGCAGGAGAATCGCTTGAACCTGGCAAGTGGAGGTTGCAGTGAGTGGAGATCATGCCACTTCACTCCAGCCTGGGTGACAAAGTGAGACTCCCATCTCAAAAAAAAAAAAAAAGAGAAGAAGCAGAAGAAGAAACTCTGTCTGTACAAAAATTAAAAACAAAAAAGTTAGCTGGGCTCACTGGCACATGCCTGTGGTCCCAGGTATGGGTGACGGGAGGATCACTTGAGCACAGGAGGTTGAGGCTTCAGTGAGCACTGATTACGCCTCTGCACTCCAGCCTGGGTGACAGGGTAATAAAACCCTGTCTCAAAAAAAAAAAAAAAAAAAATGTAATTGTACATCGTCTGCCCTCCAGAAATCTACAACCTACGTCACGTTACTCCTAAGGGAAGTTCTCCTCCCTGCTGCAGCCTAACAGACAATGTGAGCAGTAAAAGTTTCCCTGACCAACCATGTGCAGCCTCTGCAGACACACATGAGATGCCCTGTGTGTACCACAAGGGAAGCAGGACATGTGTCATGTTGAGAGCTTTCTAGAGAAGTGAAAGGAAAATTGCCATGAATGCTCTTTAGATGTTTTCCAGATAGATTTCCATGGAGAACTTGGGATTGTGTTGCCCCTGTTTGTTTCAAATCTCCGTGGTTGTTATTACTATCAAAGTGACACATGCCCATTGTAACAGTTAACAGACTTTTTTATTGCCTGTTCTTCAAGCTAGGACTCTGAGCATCCTTTGAGATGATGGAAGGAGGGGGCCTTTGTGAGACGCGTGAGGCAGAGCCAGTGCTGGGAGAGTGTCACGTGGCAGAGGACTTGGATTCTTCATCGGGCTTTGGAGAGTTGTGGGGAGTTGGGCAGGTCCCAGGGAGAGACAAGCAGAAGCCTGGCATTCTGGGGAAGTTTAACTGGTGTCTTGATGAATGGGGCTTCTGGATCTGATCTTTGAGCTTAAGGGAGAAAATGACTGGGTAACTTTGATTTCAACCTGGAAGAATGTCATGGGGAAACTGTGCTCTGTGGGAGGGTAAGGCTTTCCTAAGGAGGTCATTGCCGGTGGGACAGTATTCGGCCTCCTGTTGCATTTACTTACATTTAGTTGTGAAATTTTGGGAGAAAAGACCAACAAAAGAGACCCCAGATGGACTGTGCAACTGATGCACGGGGAGCTGGGGGTTGGTAATGGGGGAATCTCGCTTAAATGGAGATTGTATGACAGCACTCGAATAATGACTGGTTGTTCACGGGTGGATTTGGGGAGACTTCAATAACAATGGATTGTGTTTCATTTGGTTTAGTTGCAAATATCAAGTAGTCAGAGTTGTATATAAAATTGCTCTATGGCAATATGAGTATGACTTGGGATTAGGCACACTCAAACTCTCTGAATATTTGCCCATTGTGGGAGGAAATGCAGGAAGTAAAGTGCAGAGGCCTCAGAAGCCTTGGAAAATGAGTAAGGGGAAGAGGCACCTCCAAAGCCCGAGTGACACCACTGCTGAACCCAGAGGGCAACCAGAGAAGGACAGAGCTTCACAAGTCAAGGCTTAAGAGTACTCTGAGCAGCAGTCGGTTGGAGAAAGCAACAGGGATTGTGGAGAGACCGAAAAGACCAGAGTGGGTGTGAGAGGAAGTCTGTGAAAAGGACGAGATATCCCAGTGTCCTGGATCTTGGTGGCCTTGAGTGGCAGGTGGGGGAGAAGCTAACTGGAAGAAGGTTCAGGAAAGGGACTTTTGGGACTTTGAGTGAGGTGAGAAAAAGGCAGAAGCATGATTCCAGCACCTTCTCAGAGGAGAACAGTGTGGAACTCAGGGCAGTGGGTAAACCCTTGGTCTTCACAATTGGTGATTCCTCCTGTGGGCTCCTCTAAGAGAACAGGCTACTGGTGACAGGGACACCAATGCCAGCCGCACATCTGTGTGCCACAAGAATCGCATGATTCCTTAAGACTGAACCCACAAAGGCCTGCCCATGGCAGATGTGGCCCCACCTCTCAGCCCCCTAGCAAAATACACTGACTCAGTATCACCCTTGAGCCAATGAGCTCCCAAAATGGCAAATGGGGTTGTTGAAACAAAAGCTCCATCTCCCGAGTTGTCAGCGTAGGGAGCAGCTGTGACCTCCAAGTTCGGTTCCTGATTCTGTGTTTCTTTCTCCCTCCTCCTTTAGATCGTGGTGTATGTGGGCGTCTCCTCAGCCGGCAGCTTCGCTGTACCCTGCGGTTGATGTCCAAGGTTTTGACTGTGTGGATTTGTGTCTTTCCGGCAGGTGTCTCCTCTGCAACTTCCCTGATGTCCCTGGCTTGGGTGCTAGCCTCCTATCACAAGCTGCTGCGGGACTCCAGGGACGACAAGAAGAGCATGAGCTACAGAGGGGCCGTCATCCAGCTCTTCTGGCGCCTCTTCACCATCTCATCCCGAGTGATCTCTTTTGCCCTCTTTGCTTCCATCTTCCAGCTCTATTTTGGGATCTTCGTGGTGGTTCACTGGTGCGCCATGGCCTTCTGGATCATCCATGGCGGAACAGACTTCTGCATGTCCAAGTGGGAGGAGATCCTCTTCAACATGGTGGTAGGGATTGTGTACATTTTCTGCTGGTTTAACGTCAAGGAAGGGCGGACTCGATATCGAATGTTTGCATATTATACGATAGTCTTGACCGAGAATGCTGCCTTGACGTTCCTTTGGTATTTTTACAGAGACCCGGAGACCACTGACTCCTATGCGGTGCCAGCACTGTGTTGTGTCTTTATTAGCTTTGTGGCTGGGATCGCACTGATGCTCTTATACTATGGTGTGCTGCATCCCATGGGGCCACGAGCTAAGATCCTTGCCAGCTCCTGTTGTGCCGAGCTGCTCTGGGGCATCCCTTTGCCCCCCGATGTTGAGCCCATGGCGCCTCAGATCCCTGGGTACCGGGGGACCCAGGTTACGCCCACCAGAGCCGTAACGGAACAACAGGAGGATCTCACGGCTGACACTTGCTTGCCCGTTTTCCAAGTGAGACCCATGGGGCCCCCTACCCCGTTGGGGCGTCCTTACCTCCCAGAAGGGCCCCTCATTAAGATTGACATGCCAAGAAAGCGATATCCAGCTTGGGATGCTCATTTTGTAGACAGGAGGCTGAGAAGGACTATTAACATTCTGCAGTACATCACCCCCACCGCAGTAGGCATTCGATATCGAGACGGACCACTCCTCTATGAGTTGCTACAGTATGAGTCTTCACTCTAAGAGCATCTTGACCCAAATTGAGAAGGGGACTTTAAGTTTGGTTTGCGGCAAACACCGCTTGCAAGAAATATAACCCTCCCTTCCCCCAATACACAGAACCACCGCCACCACCACCAACACCGCCACACCAACACCACCACTACAAAAGAAAAAAAAAATTAATAAGTCACAACCCCTTCAAATAAGCTTTCTTTCCAGTCGCTGTATGTATACAAAGATATTCTCTATGTTTTGTAAGTAAAAACAAAAAGAAAACCTTTCTTTTGTTTTTTACACATAAGAAACAGTATTGAAAAATCCCACGCTATGGTTCATAGAGTGGAGAAGGAGGAGTTGTCTCCACTCCAAAAGAAAAAAAAAAGTTTTTTACCTTACACCAAGTGTAGATCATTTATGGGATTGGTGCTGATTGAAAGAACAAAACAAAACAAAACAAACACAAACAAACAAAAAACCTTCAACTGCCTTATGCCCTTAGGTGCTGAGTTTCATTAAGTACTGTCACGTTTTCTCATGCAAAACTCTCTGGTGATTTTTGCACCAGGAGAGGGGAAATTAAACAATCAAATGAAACAATCTAAAAGTGAAACAAAAACCAACCAACAAAGACAACATAAAGCAATTATTCTTCCTATCTGATTATTTGTATTGAAGAAAACAAATTTACCAAAAGCGAAAGCATAAAACCCGTTCCTCTTTTCAGTTTCTCCTCCTCCTCTCCGGACCTTCTCCCCACTTCGCAGAGCCTTCTAGGAGCTCGAGGGCTGTTTGAAACTCAAATGGCTGGAGCAGCTACTTGAAGGCTGACTATGTGCCATTTCAGCATTTGCCTAGCAAGAATCACATTTGTTTCCCAGTGAAAAGCAAACCAGAACAAAACAAAAAGCCACCCCAATAATTCGGTAAGGACAGGACATTCTAAAGCAAATTAAAGGAGATTTCTATATACATAATCAGTAATAATAAAACTCAGCATAGTAGCAAAAAGAACGACATCAATTTAAAGGCACAATACTTAATCAGTGACTGGCAACAATGATTAGTTCCATCATTTTAAGGCTGTGAACGGTAGACATTTATCACATGTGATATTGTGTAAACCTCTTCTGTTTCCATTTGGTGGGAAGCCTTAAATTGATCTGGAAAGAATTCTTCATTTTTCATTTGTGCTTTTTTTTTTAAAAAAAAAAATAACACAAAGAGGAAAACTAGAATATATATATATATACATATATATAAAAAGTCAAAATTGTAATAACTGACCCATTTCAAAGACTGTTTGGTGCTTCTGTCTTTCACCGTTGTGGTTGGCTGAAAATCATTCAGCTCACCTGGTGCATCTGGGTTGAGTGGGAAATTTTGTGTGTGTAGTATGTGTGTGTTTGTGTGTGTATGTGTGTGTGTGCCCATAGCACACGTATATATGTGTGTGTCCCTGCTGCAAAGTCTTGCCAGAGATATACAAAACTGATGTAAGATGGACTTGGATTACGGATTGGTTCAGCAGAGCATGGGGGCAGGGGCTCTGGAGTGGCAGGGAAGGGATGCCGCCTGCCCACGAGCCCTGGTTTGGGTGGCGAGACTCACAGCAGCAGCGGACTCCAGGCCTTAGAGGCCGTGCCATTTGGGTGAGGATTTGATTCCACTGTTTATTTTCTCATTGTATCAAGTTGAATTTCTGCAGGTGTTGCAAGTATGTTCAACCATTTAAAAACTTTTTATTTTTCAAAGTATTGTTCCTTTAAAGAATATTTCTGTTCTAGGGCATCGTTTCAATCCCATCGTATCTCTACTTGGGCACAAAACAAAAAAAAAAAAAAAAAAAAAAAAAAGAAAAAAAAAAAAGTATATATATATATAGACACACACAATATTTTTAAGTAAATACTGTTAGTCTTTGCTGTGTGTAGCTGCGATTTTTTTTTCCAAATATATACCTGTTTAGGGTGCAAGACCTCACATTGAACTATTCTTAACACAAGTTCAATAACTGAGGGATTTTTTTAATGTTTGTGGAGTTTTTTTTTTTTTTAAAAAAAAAAAAACAATTATTATTCAGTGAGGCTTCTCCTTCCCACCCCCTTCATTGTTTATCTAAAACCTTTTTTTTTCAAGAACAAGTTTCAAATATCAGTTGTGAAACTGAATGCTCTCTTCTTTGTCTGGACTTCCTGGACCTCATGCGTCCTTACTAAGCATCGTGGTGCTGTCCTCTCCCCGTCCCTGACCCGGGGGTCCCCTCGGGCCTCCCTGGTGGGCAGGAGGAGGAGGAGCCCCCAACTCTAGGAAGCAGGACGAACAGAGCACACACAGGCAGCACTGAAAACCAGCCAGGAGGGCTCTGCACGCCCATCAAAGGACCCACCTGTGGGCCCCTGGAGAGTCACTTGGGAGTTGGAATCTAGTCAGAGGCACTTTTCTGAATCGCACCAGCCTGCTGCCTTTCAAGGGCTTCGTGCCTGAGCTCTGCGATGTACTCTGCTAGGCTGGGGAAGGTGAGGCCATTGGAGGGTTGGGCATCCGCTTTAGCTGGTGGGGTCCCACCTGTTGTCTGCCTTGGGTCTAGGGCTCTGTGCACCTGGAGCTGGCCCACGTCTGTCCTTAGCGCATCTTCCTTGAAACGCCCTCATGCATCCTCTCGGGACTTCTGCCACTTCTGCTTGTGTGTCTGTTCTTGGATTTCTTTCTTTCTTCCTTCTTTTTGTTTCAGCGCAGTCACAGGTTTTAATTCGCCACCTCTATTTCACTCTTGCACAATTAGCGCGTGTGTGTCCCTGTGTGTGCATCCTGCCATGTTTACATGAAACTTACAAAGAGAACGGTAGATGCTGAGCTGACCGGGAGCACCAGGAGTTGGGATGGCAACTTCCAACTCAGGGAGGGCCTCCAGGGTCTTAGCCACTAGGAACAAATGAGGAGATCACGGGACATTTCAGCAATCTTTTAATTTCACACTTCTCACTGGAAAAGGCATCCTCGCCCCTCCCTGGAACTCCTCCATCATGCCAGTACTTTCTTCACAAAGAAAATGAAAATATGCATCTGTGAGCAGCAGCAGGGAAAGCTGGTTTTGTAGAGATGCAGGAAAAGGAAGAAAAGCAAGGAAAGAAGTAGAGAGCAAGGCATGGAAGAGGCAGGGGAGACCTGATGGCAAGGACCAGGCCAGCGCTGTCCTCAGTGTCCTCTTGTCATCAGCCTCTAGCAGCTCCCCACACTCCCAGTTACCCTGAAACTTTCTGGCATCATCTCCCCTGGGGTCCTTCCCCCGAGGCCCTTCCCCTTCCAGTGAATGGTCCTGGGCGTCAAGGCAGGATTCCATACACACTCAGTGCTGAGACCGCCTGGGGACCGTGTCTCCGGACCCAGATGACTTTGGTCCTGAAAGCCCAGATCCTTAAGACCGCCCCGTGACAGGGTCGCTCTTTGTCCCACACTGGGCATCAGCATTTAGTCTTTCATTTGCCTGAGTCCCTGACAACCCTCCAGGGCTGCTGCTTCAGCTGCTTCCCAGAGGAATGCCCGTGATGTTTTTAGGTTTTTTTTTTAAATTTTAAGTCTCTGGGCCCATTTCTTTCCCAGGACCTCCTGAAGAAAATCAATCCATTTCCAGTATTAAGGCCTGGTAAGCACATTGGTGCCCAGAGATAGAGAATACAAAAACTATCTCCTTTGCATTCCCTGATGACTCCCCCATCAAGTATGCCCACTAAGCCCCATATTTTATTCCTCTAACCACATAGAATATTTGGCTCTACTTTTTCTTCTCAGAAATGTGGTAGTATCGCCAAACTATAATGGTGTTAGAGTCCTTTCTGCAAACTCTGCTTCTCCCTTGCTCAGCAGGTCTGCCTCTTCTCCCAGCCTCTGCGTAAAAGGAAACTTCAGTCCCATCAGATGACATCGGGATGATGTCCCCTGAGTTCACTGCCTGAAGCCTGTGACATCCGGAATGGGGGCTCCCTGTCTCTTCAGGCCATGATGTGGGGTGCTAAGGAGGCTTCAGACCATCAGATCAACCCCCTCTGGCCTCACTCACCCCAAAGCTTCCCATGTCTCTAACACTCTCCTGCACTCTGCCTCTGGAAGGTGTCACCTGGTTCTGCAGGGTCAGTCTTGTCCCAGCAACATGGGTACCAGGACACTGGTAGGACACTCACCCAAGCAGATCTGGGGCCAGAATGAAAGAGGCCCCATCTCCCTTGCCCAGACATGCTGCCATCACAACACACCCTTGGGCAGGGAAGATGACATTTCCCCATGGCCTGGGGATCCCCCACACCACACCTCCCAGGCACAGAATCATTGAAGACCACCCCATGGTCCCCATGGCTCTAACCCAGTCCCTCCACAGCGGTGGCCCCTCGGAATCCCATGATCCTGTCTGGCCCGTGGTCATGAAGGTGATTCCCCTGGCTGGGGGTCGTCTCATGCCACAGATGTCTGACCCTGCCCGGATATGAGCCTGATTCTCAGAAAGAATTTACAGGTTTTAGAAAAGTGCCAATTTACATCATTTTCTCCATTCTTCCTCCAGTTTTATTCCCTCCCATTGCACAGTCATGGGGGCAGAAAAGAAGGTCCCTGATGTGGATCTGGTTTGAAGCTGCACTGGGTGGGCCATGGCCTCACTTCTTGCTGTACACCTAAACCCCTTTGCAGTCTTCACAAGCCAGGTAGAGGAAACACTACCTTTCTTTTCTCCATCTGGTCTGCTGCTTGCTCATGGAAGGGCTAGAACCAACCCCAAGCTTTGATGCCCCCAGACCTTAGCACAGGGGTCCTCTCTCCATGATCCAGGGACAGAGCAAGAAGAGCATGACAGTGTGCAGGCTCAGAGCCTTGGGCTTGGAGCAAAGGATATCAGCTCCTAGAAGAGAATGAAGCAGGCCATATTCTCATGCTCCTGGCTCGCTCGGATGAGCTGGGCTGGGGACTGTCACCCAGCATTCGTTTGGCACAGATGGTAGCATTTTCTTTGCCAAGAAAAGTGGCTCCTTACTCAAAATGAGCCCTTTCAGGCCTTGTATGTGTGATGACAGCTGCTCTGGATGGTGGCTTCATGATTGAAGGAGGGGAATCTCCTTGTGTACCTTTAATTTGATTTTCTTACCAAGAAGCTAAAATCTATTTTTTCTTTGCCAAACTGAAAAATATTAACACAACCAGATTTGGTTGTGGAGGTTGAGATTTAAATTCGGATAATGTAAAAGGAAGAGAGCTTATTGCCATTAATTTCACCAAGATCCATGTGATACTCTCAGTGTGAACTAGGAAACCGTCAGGGAAATCTGGAGGAGCTTAAGGGAGACCTGGGGAAGACTGCAGGAGTGAAATGGAAGGACTCAGAGGGGTGGGCCCAGGGGCTGGACCAGTCTTACAGGGAGCAGTTCTATTCATTTCACTTTCAAACATTTATTGGTCACTAGACCCTGTTGGGCAACCCCCTTCATCAAGCACAACACAGTTATCCCTTAGGGAGTGAACGTAAATCAATGTTGGTTCCTCTTATCAAGGTCCAGCTGAGAACCAGATGAGCACAATGGGAACCTCTTTAAGCTTCTGTCCCTTTCTCCTCAGCCCAAACTGGCCATTGTCATAGAAGCAACATTCCATTCTCACCCACGGTTCAACCTCCAGAACACGGAAATGGCAGGGGCCAGCCCATCACAGGTTACAAACCCATGAGCTTGCAAGAGGACTTCTCCCAGCATCCTCAATCAATGTGTGCCTGTCCCAATTTCAAAACATGTAAAAAGATAAAAAGGCAACTCTACCCTACCAGAGATTTTTTTCTATCCCCCTTCACTGGGAAAAAAAAGATGATGCTTAATCTGAATTCTTGCGGTGGCAACACAAGCTCCTTTCTCACCCATCCCTAGCTATTCTAAACATTTCACTTCTTGCTTAAACACTGCATCTCATGCTGTTGGCCAAATATCAAAAGACAAGGGTGCTGCCTTGATCCTGCTGCAGCCTCCTTCCTTGGCTCGCCTGGTCCTGTCTGCCTTATTCAGCTCTCCCTGGCACCATCTGCTCCTTACTCCTGTGGCTTTCCTTGCACTGGCTGGCAGACCATGGCTGGTATATCCTGGAGACAAAGGTCGTGAGTGCTATTAATGACAGCTCCCGAGGGCAGCAGACGGACCACTGTGGGAGTTCCTCCTGCTCTTGGCCAACACCTTGTGTCAAGAGCTAAGAATAGACCACATTGGAAATGAGCAGGCAGGACCTAGGGACACCTGCCCCAGGCTGCCCCATCACATGCAGAACAGTACGCAGGTCCCAGGAGAGGATGCTGCCCTTGTCATTCCCTAACACAAATCCCAGGACCCTAACTACCCCTAAAAGTCATTCTCAAACCAGTGAGGACAAAGAAATAATTTCCCTTTAGTATAGTGCCAATTGGTAATCCAGTGCACATCCCTCTGTAAGCAACATTTGGCCATCTGTCACGGTGGGTACAGACAACCCATCATCTGTTAGATGAGCTCCCCTGGTCTGTTTGTCCATCTTCGACATAGCTCTGGGGTCCTCGGGCTAGAGTGGGCTCGGGAGATTTGTTTTAGCTGCAGACTTCCTAGGGGCTTTCCTTTAGACCCAGAAAGATCAGGAAATGTCACAGGCTGATTCAGGGTCCCCACTGTGATTGTGGATAACTCACTTCACCTCTCGGTGCCTTGGTTTCTCCATCTGTAAAGTGGAGAGAAAGAAGGCCAACCTCTTCCTTCTCTCCTGCTCAGGGATGCTTGGAGGATTCATCATGTTGCCTGTAGCAAAGCCGTCACATGAGAAAAAGTGGTGACCTCATTTCTTGGGAAATGGAACCACAGGAGGAGAGAGTGTTTTCCAGGTGCGGTGGCACCTGGAAGCCACAGGATGAACAGGGAGCACGGCGGGACAGGGAGGAGTCTCACATACCTGTAGTTCTTAGAGACTTCATAGCACTGTGAACCCAGGTCAGTGGTACCCTGGTCAGGTGACCCTTGGTCACCTATCTTGAGCCGGCCACTTGTAATTCTAACACCAAATCTCCTGATGTTAATTCTTCCTAAAGTATCGGAGAATGTATGGAAGGATGCATTTGAACACTGATATTCATTGAGCTTTGGGCAGACAAGAGGAGTGAATGGAGAGTATTTAGAGACTGTTTTTAAGGTGGTTGCAAGCTCTTCAGGAAATCTCTCTCACCTTTGTTCTTCCTTCCAATCTTTTTCAATCTTGATGCTCACCTCATCAAATGGACTCACCTTCTCTTTCCCTCTCTGCAGAGTACAGAAAAAGAAAAACACCGAATCTTTTTCTTTTTAAACAATTGTTCCATCTGCCAAAATGTGGGTCCCAATGGTGGGTTTTCTTCCCTCCCTTGTGTGCTCTGAGCGGAACCTGCAGGCAAGGATTCAGAGACAAACAGAACTGGAGAATAGCACTAATTTTTTTTTCTAAAACAAGGTATTTTTTTCTTACAATTCAATTGGAAGTGTTACATTGAATTTCTTTTTCTTTCCTTTTTTTTTTTCGTTTGACTATGGTTTGACTGTTATCAATTCAAATACCAAGATACACTCTGAGCAAGAACACAGACCTGTCCTGAGAGCCTCTGCTCTTCTTCGGACCTAACCTGGAGTTAGGGCAGGTGGGAGCCCAGGAGGCACTGGGGTTCCAGGAGGGCCAGCCGTGAGGCTGATTTTCTATCAGCTCTGAGAACCTTCTTGGAAAGAAAAATTCCAGAAACTTCAACTGTTCTGCATCAGTCAACCTGGCTCTGGCCTTTTCCTTGGAGTTCAGGTGTATTTTGATATAGAAATTCTCACCAAGAAAACAAGGGCCCTCCTGGAACTGTCCCTAAACGAGATGGAGCTCGCACGAGCAGGTCTCGGTGGCTGCTGCCAACGCCTCCTGCTCATTCCCAGCGGAGCCCTGACCAGAACTCCTTTCCCTCCTGCTCTGACCCTGCTCTCTGAGGTTAATATGATTGTTTTGGCAGCACAAGGGACGAGATCATAGTCTGGAATTCAGGAATGACTTGTGCTTGACCGTGCATCTGACTGTTCTGTGGACAGGTCAAGTCCTGCTGGGATGGTTTATTTCCACAAGGTATTTCTGATAGTCACAAAAGGAGAGAATACATGAGACTTCATCCCTGATTCTCCGTTCTCATCAGCACCCGCTTTTGACTGGGATGGACGGTGAATGAACTGTCCCAAATTTGAGAACAAGAACTTTGAAGATGGACACATGGAGCCATGGGGAACAACAGGACTCAGTAGATGGGTAGGAAGAATAGTGACGAAGAGGAAGGCTCCCGGAAGTATGCGGGAGGAGAACATTAGTGGCCATCTAGGCATTCCTTCCTATACTCTCTGGGGCAAAACTAGAAAAACGTATTCTTTTCAAACAGAGGAAATTGATTTTACGGAGTGACGTGCTTAAGCATTTTATTTTTTAAACAAAAGGGTCAGAGAAAACATCTAAAGAAAGGAGAGGCACATTCTCAAGAACAGATTATGTTATTGGAAGTAAAAAATCCAGGACTTTATCCTTCTACAGACCTAAGTCAAGTCACTCTTAGGGCCAATTTCTCTTTCTGTAAAATGGGAAGAATATCGTTTACCTACCTCACAGGGGTGTTGTGAGGATTAAGTAATCATGACTGGTAAAGTGCTTTGAAGATAAAAGTATTACGATGATCAGGCTTGCTTCCTATTTAAAAATCTAAACACCAATTGTGTGCAAGGTGCAGTGGAGGAAGGGAACATAATCCAGTTCCTCCACTCTCTTTCGATTAATGGATATATTTTAAAAGATTCCAAGAGGACAGAATAACAGAGTTGTCTCAATGTGGGTCAAGAAGGGAGTTCTCATTCTGCCCCAGAAAAGCTACTCTCCTTTCCTTCTCAGATATTTAGACAAGAAGGAAGGGCTTTAAATTCTTTGGCTTCCATCAGAAAATGCTCTTGTGGGAAGCAAACAAATACTGGTTGTTCTACTTCCTTTGTGGGAAAATGAAGGCAAATAGCAGTGAAAATTCCTTGTGACCAGCACATAAGGTTCTTTATTTCAGTTATTCCTTCTAGGCTCAGCTTCAGTTTTGCCATAGCCTTTTTCTTCTGTCTTCAGACCCAGAGAACAATTCACTTATGCTGTCCTGGAATAGCTGGGGATTTGGGGTTGGTTGGTTTCTTGGAGAGTCTGGTATACTGTTGTTTGCTGGAAAGTCTTGGCTTCCAAAGACAAGGGTCTTTACTCGAAAACAAATCAAAACATGTGACTGCCATTTTTTTTTTTTTTTTGGTGGGAGGAGTTTTCAATTTCTTAGCTGCCTCACATAAAGCAAAGCCTTTTAAAATTTCTCATTCATTTTTCCATGTGCAAAAAGTTCTTCTCTTCCCAAACATACTCAGTGAACCAAGTCTGAATTCTAAACTGTAGCACATGTCAAAGGATTCAAATTATTTGTACAGTGCCATGCTGGAGGTTCACAAATTTCTACAAAGAGCCAAAACACCTACTGAGCTAAGCAGGTTGGAATTCCAGCCCCAAATCGAAGCTTTCTGGAAATGCTCCCAGAGCCTTTTAGCTTTAGGAATGTCCTTTCAGTATTGCTAGGGCAGTCTCCCTGAATCCTCAGAAATCCTCCTGCCACAGAAGAACATCCTCAGAAGCCAGTGGGGGCTTCCTCTATGTACTAGAACCAGAGAGAAGCCACTTGTTATTTTGAAAATCATGATATGATGCCAGCCTTTAAGGAAAGAAGAGAGTTACTTTCTTTTCCTTTCAGAGGGAAGAAAGGACTGGGAGAAAGGGAAGGTGATTTGACTTGCTCTTTGGTTGCTGGAAGAGACGTGAGACTCAGAGGTCCATGGTGGCCTGTACCGTGGACACGGGACTGCGGAGGCCCGTGGTGAGTTTCCTTAGGCAGCTGAGGTAGTGCTGAGGTGCTACGCTCCTTTCCTTTTAACCAAACCCAGGCTCAAGGAAAGGGGGGCCTCAGCTTTGGTGCTGCCAACTTGCCCAGATCATCCTGAGCGTCTCAGCCACGTCTCCGCCCCTCTCCAGCCTGTGTTCACCAGTGGGCCCTAGCGTTGACTCCAAAAGGCCTGCCTTCTTCGAGGCCCATGCTTCCACGCACATTGCTTCAGGTCCGAGCTGTCTGTCCAAATGCAACCGCTGCAGCCTTTTCACTTGCCTTGACACCACTGTTGCTGCATGCTTCCACCAAATACGCCCCCACCCCTGCAGGAGCTGTCATTTCACCCCCACTGAGAGGGCCTCCAGCATTGCCCTAGGCCGCCAGCATTGCCCTGGGCCTAGCCTGCCTGAAGCCCAGGACAGGCTCTGCTTCTTCCTTTTTTCAAATCCATGTGCCTTTAAAAGGCGTGGCCCTGGGTCCTCGTGGAGCCTTTAAAGAAGTGGAGGGCTGGAGAGAGGAACAGGTGATGTTACTTAGGCAGTTGGGACACTCACTGATAACCTGTGAAGCTAATGTGGACCAGTAAGTGAAAACGCTGTTTTCCCAGCGGCTGGGCTGTCTAGGGCACTCGCTCTTCAAGATAACAACAATCCCTGTGATGTGGTTGCTCACATCTCCCCCTGCTGACCGCTAACCTCATGGCACCTGCTCGTTATTGATGGCTTCGTTTGTATTTGTTTGAAATTAACATTGATTTTTAAACTCCAGAGAGAGAGAGAGAGAGAGAGAAAGAGAGCTGAAAGCCACATAAACTCTGAGATGATCTGAGATTATGAGAACAGAGGAGAGCATGAGCATATAACTGCATCCAAAGCTTATTGATCCGTCGAGATACATAAATGTGCCTGTCTTGGGCATATTACTTGTATATATTCTTATGTATCTTTTTCTTAAAGGGCTGAAACAGTTTGATGAAACAGAGTATTCTGATGTTTAGGGCTCTTGCCGGGCTTGAAATTGACCTAGGCTAGATGGCTTTTTCCTTTCTCCCAGGCACAGGGTCATGAAGAAACCCCTGAGCTGGTATATGCCTTCACTTCCTCCATAAGTGACAGAAAGCCAATAGCAGGGTTCTACTGGGACTTGAGAGATTCTCTAGTTGCTACCAGTATTCCCAGCAGATTCACAGAACAACCTGGGATCCACAGGAAGCAGTTTTCTAAACAACTCCTGGACGTTCTGGAATGTAAATCACACTGAGTACATCCGATCTATTAGCGCAGCGGTCGCCACAGTAGGGGAAAAGAGGGGAGTGTGCTGTGGACAAGTAAGCTTGGACGTTACCGCTCTGAGACTGGCCAGTGGTAGATGATCTTTGGCTGCCAAGATCTCTGGCCAGTGACAACCAAACCTGCTCTGTCCAGCTCCTCTGCACCACCAATCTCTGCAGGCGAAGTGGAGGCTGGCCCCTTGAAGCCATGAGGACTCGGGGCAAGTGTCTTCCCTGCCTAAATATGAAGTCCTCCTGGCATCTCTGGTAGACAGGGGACACTGCAGGGCAATTGCTTTGTGGGAGGCAGAATGCATTTTTCAGCAGCTCTGGGTACCTCCCCACAGCAGCGGCAGCATTGACAAGTCTGGGGTCCTCCAGATAGACTTCAGCAGAAACCCAAGTGTCCACAGCATGAAAAGCCACCCAGAGCCCCTTCTGCCCTCAGACAGAATTGGCATGACCTGGAGCGACACGATACTTGGTTGTGTGGGAGAAGAGCGTTTCAGGTGGGCTGGAGGAAGCAGGTGCTGATGCAGCAGGGCACGCTGAACCCTAAGTTTCTTTCTGGGGCAGGGTCTGGTTCTGGGCCTCCTCCTCTGGCTGGAGGAGTAAGGGAGACCACCTGCAGTGTTGGGATCCATGGTCTCTGGATGTTTCCGATCCAGGCAGGGGCTTCATAAGAGTCCACCTGGAAGACCTGGTGTCAGGTGTGAGGCAATCACAGGGTCTGTCCAAGCCTGGAGAAACCTTTTCAAGCCCAGATCCCCAGAGGTAGCTTTGGATCCCCTCCTCTAAACTGTCACCTGTGCACAGCCTGTGTTTCCTGACACTCAGGGTGTGGCATACAGCCAGTGGCTCCAGACGGTCGTGCCAGCACCATCCGTCCTGTCTCCTCCCCTCCATCTCCTCTCCCTTCACCAGGCATGGTAGCTGCAGTAGTGAGGACAGCAAACTGACTCTCTGCTTTCCCTGCGATGGCCAAATACATTCCAGCTTCTACAACCTCTTGTCTTCAGCCCTGATCCCCGTTGTACACAGTTTTCATTATCTTTTTCCTTACATGGACTCTTTTGTGACAAGACATGTTTTTAAGAAATCTTTTTGTTTGGTTTTTCTGGTGTAACAGAAAATTGGCTTCTTGGGGTAGGAAGAAAGAAATATGAAAAGGACATGGGAAGATGACAGTGTCATGCTGGAAGGGTTGATGGTGCCACCCTGCCTTCTACATGGTGGTTTTCTTTTACTTTAAAAAAAAATAACACATTTGTTGCAGAAAAAAGTTGGGGTTTGGAGAGTACGGAAAGAAGGCAAGAAGGAAGCGAGGAAAGAGAGAGAGAAGGGGAAGAAAGAAAGGAGGCCCCTTGGGTGTCACTGTCTTCTCCTGATGTCTGGAGGTGGTTTGTTGTTTAAAGGAAATCCGTTTTTCTCCCTGCAGCTGGGCTGAGCTTTCCAGCACTTTCTGGCTCTGTGTGCGCCTGAAAACAGGCCACAAGGTCCTGGCTCTGGCCTCACTGACTTCACCCTGCAGGGTCATTTTGGGCTTCTCTGTGCCTGGTCACGGGCTCTCTCAACCCCTCCACCTGCCGCAGGGAGGCAGCCAGCAGAGGCCAGGAGACTGGAATCCAATCTCTCTTCTCATAACGATGGTGATTTTCATGGGCTTCTTTTTTGGATTTGCTTAGCTTTTCTTGGATACTTTTTCTCCCAAGAAACTTTTCCGTGTTCACTCTGTAAGGCTGAAGACGCTGCTAACTGACGCTCTCTAAAGCAAAACTAGTTGAACTTCTCAGGTAATTCAAAGCCTTGAGTGCATATAATTTGTAATTTTCCCTAAAGGGCTAACAAAATAGTCTCACTGCTCCTGTCCACCCTGAGCATGGGCTGTCTGACAAACAGGTTTGTGTGTGTATTTGTGGGTTTTCAGGAAGCAGAGTCATAAACATCATTACTTTTGAGATTCCAAATATTTCCCCCCCGCCACCACGGAACCTGTGCTTGAGCAAGCACGCATCCGTACGAGGAAAGGTTGAGAACCTGGCAACTCCAAGCTACTGGCGGGTGCCCCTGTTCCTCTTCCGGTTTCTCTAGGACAGGAAGTTTGCTCACTGTGTGAAGTTTTAGTCACCGTATGAAACTCACCCTTTCCAGCTGGGATTCTTTCCTTCTTCCCTTTGCCTCCATGTATCTAATCCTCATGGTTGGTTCTTACATCCTGAGAAGAGCTGAGTGAGTAGAATACAGCTTCCAAAGCTCATACCATGTTTTCCTTTACTCTGGAGTTTGCTGGTGTTGCTGAGTGAGTAGAATACAGCTTCCAAAGCTCATACCATGTTTTCCTTTACTCTGGAGTTTGCTGGTGTTAAAAATAGTCTATAGTAAACTATAGGCTAAGGAGAAAGCCTGTGAGCTGGACCTTCCTAGATGCAGGTTCATGACCACCTCCTGTTAACCAAAGTCTCGACCTAAAAGCATAGAAATGAGCCAATTTCTAGCCTCCATCTCTCTGGGGAAGATCTCTGTGGAAGTGACTTAGCCAAAATTTTAGGGGAGGGCTAGAAAATACCTTGCCCTTGATCACCCTCAAACTACACAGGTATTGCTTATTGATACCCTGTGTGACAGGTCAGGGAGAGCCCTTATGCATGTGATTGATGACATGCTATGTGATTAATGCACCCTTTGGATGGGGAAAGAAGCCCTTATTCTTAATTAGTTTAACTGAGCACCTATTACATGCAAAACATAGTCTTTGCCCATAGATAAAGCTGGAGGGGAGGGAAGTACTGAATGAAAATTCCCAAGGTGTAAAGGCTAAGAGCAAAATCTTCCCTTCCCACTCCTAGCAGCTCAGAATGCACATTGCCATTTAGACTTCGCGTAGTACAGTTGCTGGACTGGTTCTTGGAGTACCAAGAACCTTAGATCATTGGAAAGGCAGAGGCATGGAAGCCAGCAAAATGGGCAGAGACCACTGTCCTAGAATCACAGGAAAAGACTCCCAGACACTCCAGTCTGTTATTGTAGATGTGTCGTGGAAAATAGCCTAAGAGGAGACCCAGGGAAAGGGAGGTGGTGGTGAGGTGACTTTTCTGTTCCCATGAAGGGGCTAAGGAAGCCTCCTTGCAAATGGAGAACTGGTCTGGCAGAAGTCTTTTGTTTGGCCCTGTTTTCCACACAGCAAAAGTAGACTTGGGTAAATAATTCAGTGTGTTGGAACGTGATAGGAATCATTTATTTTCCTTATACTGCACTTGGGAGCATCACTTTTGGTATAGACAAGCATCAGAATTTGAAAACCTGTTTTAGCTAAAACCTCCAGCTCAAGGAAATAAGTATATCACAGAGGCTATTGGGTGGGACCCCACCCCACCCGATAAGCAGCCTCTTGTCTTTGAGAGAAGCATTGGTCCACATTTGGGAAGAAAGGTCCCAGCACAGGGAGCCATTCTGATCCTGGCCCCGGGTCTTCCTATCTTGTCACCACCAGCTTGGACCGTGGAAAGTAAGTCGTGGGAGCCTGCAGTTCACACCAGCATGGCCAGTTGACCTCCCTTGTCCAGCCCAGACCTAGAGTCAGGAAGGACAATGACTGGAGAGAACGCTGGGCCCCTGTATCCCCCACACCATGTTCAGATCTTCCTGCCACAGATACAGGTTCCCCATTCCCACGTGGGACGTGGCTCCCTGCCTGGAAGGAGAAACCTAGGATGGAATATTTCAAGGCCGGCAAGTATGCTAATAAAAATTTAAATGCCGTTTAATATCCACTCTGCAGTCCTCCACTGCCTCCTCTCCTTTTCTGGTTCATCAGTGGCACATTTAACTCTTGGTGCTCCAGATGGCCAATGACTTCCATTTTCTTGGCCAGACTATGAGGATGGAGTAATGTTGACTCAAAGTCAACACCCATGGTTCTCAGCTATGTGGACAGATGTGGACATCTGTCTGTCCTCATTAATCTAGACCTGGTGCTATTTGTGGCAAATCGTGCCTATGGATGTAATTTCCTTCATTTTCTTTCTTTCTTTTTTTTTTTCGATTGCATTGCGACTGAATAATTATGCTAGAAAGACAGATTTCCGTGTAGGGCTTTCCTTAGCACAAGACTTTTTTTTATTTTTTATTTTTTACTGTTTTAGGAGAGCTGGGTTTTCAGTGTCTGAGACCCCTTATTTTTAAAAGAAAAAAAAAAAACTGTTTTTCTTTTCTATTAGCCAAAAAGAAAATTGCATTAAAAACAACAACATCATGCTCTTTCTTCCCTCTCTCCCTGCTGAGTTTGAAGGGACAGATGCACATGGGCTGGGAGCTTTTGAATCAGTTGCTCAAAAGACTTTTCTGTTCCCCCACCATGGCGAGGTCAGGGCAGTGACAACAAACAATTTAACTTCTCGAACCTTGTGGTGCCTTTTCTCGTGGTGCTTCTCTGTTGTGTAACTCCACTCAAGGCGGCCACTTGCAGCAAACAGCAATGCCAGCAAATGGTATTATGTGCCAGTGCAGTAAAAGACTTTAATGTATAAATATATACATAGATATAGATATAGATATATCACTATAGTTATATAACTATATAATTGAGGTTCTGATGCAGCTTTGGTGGGAGTTGATCATTCCTCTGCAAAAATATATACTACTCAACTGGAACTAATGGCTCTCTTGAGGGTATTGACATTTGGGAAAGGCACAACAGATGAGATGGGTTACTCTCCTGTGACAAGTTTTCTTCTTCCTTCTTGTGAAAGTTGCTGTCTCCATAGCACAGAATATTTGATAAGGGAGCAAAGTGCAGCTTCTTTTGAACTTCCTTTGGTGCTGATATATATTTCTTTTAATTCTTTGTTTGTTTTGCTTCCCCATTAGTGGCCAATAAGCTGCTTTCCCCAAAATCTCAACTCACCAATCAAAGGTGGCAGGGGACAGTTTGGGAATAAGAGGCTGGAAGTTGGGCATCCCTCACTTCATGTCCTGACTCAGTTTTCCCTGTGACCTGCATAAGGCCCACACGTGGATTCTCCATCTACAATGAGTATCATAATATTTACTTACCTCATGGGGAAGAGTAACTTAAAAGGATTAATTGCTGATACTGAATCACTAGATCATTATTAATTTGGAGACAGCAACTTGACATGTTTTTAAGATTTTGTTTATATGTTGCTAAGACTTAAATCTTGGGGTTTGGTTTTGTTCGCCTCTCGTTTCTCCATCTCTGCTATGTTTTCTGTCCTGCCTTTGGCAATACCTTAAATATTCTGTAACTCGTGGAGATTCACCTAGGGCGTTGGGTAGTGCTAATTTCTCCCAAGGGAACAACATCACTAATACTGTATAAGGTGCTAGAATCAAACCTCATTTTATATACTTTGGTTCTTAGAGAAAAACAAAACATGCAGAATTCTTTCTGTGAAGCCTTACTATAGATTGCTATAGCCAATTGTTTATCCAAAAAGTGAGACAGAGAGAATAGAAAATAAAGATAAGATGCAGAGGTTCTGTATAAAGTGTAACGAAAAGACCTTTGCTATTTCTTATATTAATGTAAACTATCATATATATATTTATATACATATATATATGCTTGAGGCAGATAGAATGGAAAAATGTACAGTATGGTCATCTTTATTTTGTCAGTTAATTCACAACTTTTAGTATGTGTGCAAGAGAGGTTTACGGTGGGGATGGGATAAGGGATGCCCAGTGTGAGATGGGAAATCATTCATCTTTCTGTTCTGTTCCACATGCTAGTAGAAGGAATAGGCTGAATGAGAGGAAAGGGGAATAAATCAAGACATAGATGTGCTTTTTAAATTTTCGGAGCACTGATGTTATGCTTTTGTGTTGTTTCTTCTTTATTTCAAGATTTCTCTACAGTGCTGTAAAATTGTCCCCTGCCTAGGGCGTTAACCAATAATGTTTACCTCAAGAAAGTTTTTTTTTTTTTTTTAAAAAAGAGGCAGTTGTTTTTCCCATCTCTTAAAAAATAGTGTCCCCCTAACCAAAAGGAGAGGCATTTCCACAGAAGTTCAGCAAGAGAAGAGAGCCATTTCTGAGGCTTTCCTTCATGTCCCCATCCTTTTCCACCACACCCCACCCCCTTTAGTTACTAATGAAAGAATCCAAGAGAGGAGTTTTGACCAGAAGTGGGTTAGGATGTGATAAAAGTATATGATGGGTGAATATAAACTTTGCCAGAACTAGTGGTGTGGGGTCCTTTCAAAGGATGGGTGTGTACTTCAGGTGTTTCGTGCTAGCATGCGTGTGTGTGTGTGTGTGTGTGTGTGTACTGTATATATGTTTCAGTGTATGAGATGTCTGGTGGACAGAGAACAAAATACCGCAAACAGAAATGAACAGGAAAAAATATATATCAAATGCTATTTTATCAGATGATGCACTTGTTCACCTTGATGAGAAGCCACTGTTTCACAACTATGCAATCTTCCAGTTATTCTCCCGACCCCTTCACCTTAGATTTCCAAACTGTTTTCCATAACCCTCACAGATTTTTTTCCTTTCTACAAGAACCACAATATCCAATCCCTGGTTCAAGGTGAGCATGCTACAGTGATTCTTTTCCTAAATTTAAGAGCTAAAGAAAAAATAATTTCCTTTTCTTTAATTGGAAATGGTTCAATGTAACCTCGTTTGGTTCTGTAAGTGAACTGATGTGTATTTTCTGTTTCGGTTACATGTTTACAACTTGTTTTCATCCTCTTCTCGGTTCAAAACATTTATGTTTCTTTATAGATTCTACTTTTTACATATGTTTTGGGGATGTGTTAACTTAAGGCAAGAAGAAAAATTTGGCTTAAGTGGAAAAATGAGCATGCGACCTCTGGGACCGGGGGAGGGAGATCGTGTGTACCTGCAGCTGAATTAGTACTTACATCATGGTCCTGAGTCAAGACCATGGCAGGGAATCTGGTGGACTCGGGGGAGGACCTGACCTGGGTGTTTTTCTTTCCTTATTTGTAGTCATCTCTATGGAGTAACCTATCCCCAGAGGATGGACTAGTATTTTCTGCCTTAGCTTTAGGCCAACTGTGTCCTTCCTAGCTACTCCACCCAGTGCCAAATCCCATGTCCCTTCTGTTGCACCATGGACTCCTAATACCTCTCCTCCCCTGCCAGCCACTGATGACAACTTGCCCGCGTGGGGTTAATGCATCTGCTTTCATTTAGAAAGTTAGATATAAAGGGAATCTTTGAGAGCCCAATGTCAAAAGTGCTCAGGAAATTGGTCCTAGACTGCGTGCCATTTGGAAGCATTTGAAACATACTCATAGCTGCAGAGGAGAGCAGCAGTTTCTAGCACATTTACAAACTACCATCAAGCCAGTTCGGCTGAGCAAGACTTTGAGAGGTTTTTAAAAAATAGTTGAGAGAAAGAAGAGAGGTCACAGGGTTACACAAAGCACAAACTCGGCAGGGGAAGCCCTGTATGCAGAAGGCAGCTTTACAACTTCTCTGGTTGTCTGCACAAGTCTGAGTTTTGCACACGGTTTACAAATCTTGCACAAGGTGGCCGAGCCATCCAAGACAGTTTTTAAAAAAGAAATCCAGACACTGCCTAACTGCTCCAGCACAACATGCTTCCGCTCGGCGGCCGGCGGGTGGGAGCTTAGATGAAATTTCTTTGGAACGGAGAAGGAAGTCAGTCCTTTGATGAGGTGCATTGTCTCTAGTGGCCTCATTCCTTGCCTCCCCCAGTCCTGCATATTCTCTTAGCTACTCAGGGGATCTGAACAAAGAGCTACTCATTTACTTTTGTCTTGTTCCATAGATCACATCTGCTGGGACCCATCCTGGGAATTTCTCATTCATTCTTTGGTTTTCTTCCTTATATATTATAGGAATAAAGGGTTCCTCTTCTCCTTCAAGTGAGTATTTTGGAGACTTTCAGAGCTGTCCTGGGGCCTGGCCCTGCATAACCAGACCCCAAGAAGCTTCCCCAAAGCTGTCTTGTCTTTAAGGCTCAGAAAGTCCACAGGGGATCTGTTCCAGGACACCATGGAATTTTCCAACTCCCGGCCTTCCCTAAAAATCAGCTGTAGATTTAGAGGGGCCTCTTGGAGGTTGCCAGGGTCTGGGCCTGTGACCCCAGTCCCCTCTAGCCTGCCCCATCGGCACTCAAGCCTCTGGGTCTTCACTCACCTTGGGCAGAGTGAAGAGTGGCCAAAACTTGAAATTGATCGAGATCCCTCACTCCTTGCTTGCCCAGAGCCAAATCAAAGTGCCCAATACCCATTTGGGGGCTGTGACAACCTGCCTCTCTGGGAAGGGACATGCCCACTGCTGCAGTCTGTGGCATTGTTGAGTTTCTGCCTGAATCTAGACCCAGGAAACCTGCCTGTTCAGAAGCCTGACAATTCATTCCCAGTGTAAACAGAGCCTTTGCTGGAAAAATCTTCCCCCATCAAGAGTGGATGAGGTCTGCCCTGTGCTATGTCGGTTCGTGCCATCCACTGGAACCCTGAGAATCCTAGTCGTGGCCCAATGGATGTACAGTCCCTGAATGCCAGGCCAGAGAGGTCAGGGGCAGGCCAGAGCCCTGCAGGGCTGCTGCTTCCTGAGAACGGAATCTGGTCGCAGCAGATGTTCTGTGCTTCCCTGATCGGGAGTAAGGACACAGTTCTGTTAGCCAGGAGAGAAGCCGTTTAAGACATTACTGGGGTCTTCAGGAATGTCTATGCGTGCTCGGAACCAGTCCAGTGTGCGTCCAGCAGGTGACATCAGTGACGCAAGAGCAGAGCTCCTCTTGGGAAGGCGAGAGAGACTCAAGAATCTGCCCGCGCCTAAACAGCGCCGCGGACTGGCTGTGGTCCTCCTGCGCTGTCATCCACACATCATCTTCTCTAAATCCTGGGGATCATCTGGTGCACGGCGGGTCGGGGCGCGGCGAGGCCAACATCCCCCATTTTAAAATGGGGAATGGGCTAGGGGCTCTTCACACCTCTGCACAGGGTCCACTCGGTCATTGGGGTTACCTGGGGGAGACCTGGTACTCCTCGCGCTTCTGTTATCTAGTGTCACTTTTGTGCACGTCTTATCTTATCGTCACCACACGGCGCGGCGTCCTGTGGAATCGGATGTTTATAACATCAGGAAGCTGAGCATTTTTGTTTCGGCTTCAGTTGCGGCCGCGAAGCTACCGACGAAGGGTGGCGACACAAATTCACGCGCGCTTTCGCACACCCTCACCGTGAAAAGGATGCTGCTTTCAACACGGCTCACTGAGCTTACCTTGCTCTATGTTCCTCTCGCGGCGGCCCGCTCCCACACTGCGCGTTGGCGTGCGTTCTTGAGGTGTCCAGCTTTTTTTGCGTTTCGCGCACTCTTCTACGTCGTTCTATCCTCTTCCTTGTTTCTATTTTTGTCTACTGATTTGGACGATCGCCATTTGTTAAACTGGCACTTCATCTTCCTCACACACGGCACTCTCAGGGGATCGCGTCTAGACGCTTCAGCCCCAATTTAGAAACATTTAGTCACAGGGTCAGTCTCTGAGCCGCAGTTCCTCTCTGCAGAACGGTGGCTGTGCTCGCAGCGAGAAGGAGCAGTCAGAAAGGACTGTGCTGGACTGGGGAGAAGGCAGCTGAGGTTGGGGATGACCATGACAGGGCCTGGGAACTGCGTCTGCTCCTGTCCTCACTGCTCCTGGGCTGGCCATCACCTTCTATGAGCCCCAGTGTCCCCATCTCTGAAATGCAGACATGAACTTGGTAACCTCTGTGATTGATCCAAACCAGCAAGAGGTATGAAAACAGTGAGCCAGGCAAATACATTTGATAAAATGTCTTGAATGATGAATGGATATCTTCAGATTTGGGAACAGAAACCACTCTAGGACCCTAAGCAACAAATGCAAATACCGACATCAAACTCGCAGACTGAAGACAGTGATTTCACTTCCACGTGAACTGATTAAAAAACAATAGAAATGGAGAAGAGGTGGGTGCAGTGGCTCACACTTGTAATCCAGCACTTTGGGAAGCCAAGGCGGGTGGATCACCTGAGGTCAGAAGTTTGAGACCAGCCTGGTCAACATGGTGAAACCTGTCTCTACTAAAAATACAAAAATTAGCCAGGTGGTGTGACACACACCTGTAATCCCAGCTCTCGGAAGCTGAGGCAGGAGAATCGCTTGAACCTGGGAGGTGGAGGTTGCAGTGAGCAGAGATCACACCACTGCACTCCAGCCTGGGTGACAGAGCAAGACTCCATCTCAAAAAAAAAAACAAACAAAAAAGAGAGAAAGAAATGAGAGAAGAGCACAAGGGAGAGGGTGATGGAGAGAAGAGCAGAAATGGACAGGAAGAAAGAGGAGATTGGAGAGATTGGTGGGAGGGGAATGATAAGACTGCCATGTTCTTCCTCCACCAGCAGTCTCGTGGTTTATAAGTTTGTTTACAGCAATTACGTCAGCTTAATGGCTACCGGGCACCCTCTGAGTGAGGACGTGCACACACATACACACACACACATATTATTCTAATCCTGCCAATGACCAGTGGTTACCCATGGGGAAAATCCCTCAGTCCTTGAGCATAGCTGGGGCTTCTTCAGAGCACAAGGAACAGTGGAATCTCAGGGTTTGAAGGAGACTTGGACACCACCTAATTTTTGCTTACTCACACAGTCACTGACAAAAGGCTATCAAACTTATTGTCACAGGCCTCCAAGGACAGAAGCTCCTTGCTTCCATTCATGATTGAGTACTGTGTAGTTGAATAGTCTTCCCTTAGAACTGGCCTACTGCTGCCTGTTGTGATCCAGACTGGTTTCTTTTGCTTTGGGCTTCCAAGGGGACAGAGCCCCTGCCTCTGGATGAATGACCTCTGGGATACTAGTCCCCTTGGCCTTGTCTTGCCCAGAACCTCCTGAAGGCAAGAGTAGAGATTGTATCTTACCTTGTCTTTGCCTCCTGAAGTTCAATGCTCCA